GCAAGCCGGCGAGGCAAGGACAGGGACGAGTACAACTGGGATGACGTGCAACAACAAGTCGCGGACACTGCATGGACAAGCGCATGCTTACACAATCATTCCCGCACCGCGTGAGTATCTAGTCGGGGGGGAGGGCAGGAGGGTTGGAGGTGGGGTAGGGTGGCGCAACAACCAAGTCGCGACACTGCATGGACAAGTCATGCTCAACACAGATCATTCCGGCACCGCGTGAGTCTGTCACGCGGCTTGGGGGTGCGGGCAGGGGGAGGGCAACAACAGTAGGTGCTTTAGGGGGGGTTGGCCAGGCGTAGCAAGGCAGGGAGGGCCGTGGTGGGGGCAATGGGGGTAGAGCAGGCCAGCCAGTGTATATCTAGCTCGCGTTGAGATGAGGTGCGGACGAGAGTGAAGTGATGTTGGCGTGGTGCTGTAGTGGAATTTAGGATGAGATTTTCGCTGCCCAGGGTTTAAGAATGGAATGCATAATGTAGCTGAGGGGGAGGCAGGCTGTGCAGTGGAAACACATATGCAGCAGTGCCGTGGGGGGCGGGAGGTGCGGCGAGGCAGGGGGCCTGTTGGGCAGGGAGATGAGATTGTGTGGTTGGGTAAGGCAACACGTGATGCTAAGCAGCGGGGGAAGTATGCAGGCCAGGTGGTCGCAGGCGAGGATGAGATTGTCTGCAGCCGGGTGCGGGGGTTAAGTGCAGCACGTGAGATAGCCAGTGGGGGAAGGTACGGCAGGCCAGGTGGCAGTGCAGCAGGGGCCAGGTGGCACCAGGGAGGGATTGAGATTGTGTCGGGGTGGGTTCAAGTGGCAAACATTAATGCAGCCAAGTGGTGGGGGCGGAGGTGCGGTTGGGACCAGCGGTGGCAGGCGTGGGGGAGGATGAGATTGTGTGGTGCGGGGTTAAGTGCAACACGTGATGTAGCAGTGGGGGAAGGTGGGGCGGGGCCAGGGTGGCAGGGGAGCGGGGCCAGGGGTGGCAGTGCAGCGGGGCCAGGGGTGGCAGGGCAGCGGGGCCAGGGGTGGCAGGGGAGGATGCGTGATTGAAAGGTGGACATGTACGAGAGTCTTCATCGGTGACGATGAAACGATGTCAGCTGCTGACCCAGATTTCTCTCTCTCTCTGAGCCGCGGAAGCGCTTCTAATGGAATAGGAAGTGCAAGAAGATTAACTGCTCTCGAAATAGCTGCTGCTAGCTCCGGGGAACAATTCAATTAGAAGGGGTCTCAGGCTACACTGTCATCGGTCTCTCTCTCTATCTCTCTATCTCTTGTTCACGCTCGCTCTGTTTTCTCTCCCTCTCTCTTTGTCTCTCTGTCTCTCTCTCTCTCTGTCTCTCTCTTCTCTCTCTCTCCGTATGTATCTATTTCTGGCTCTCTCTCTCTCGCGCGCGCGCGCTCTCTCTCTCCTTCCTCTCTCTCTGGCTCATGCTCTCTCTCTCTGCCTCTTCTTTCTTCTACTCCCCCACTCCCTCTCTCCTCTCTCTCTCTCTGCCTTTCTTTCTCTACTCCCCCACTCCCCTCTCTCTCTCTCTCTTTCTTTCTCTACTTCCCAACTCCCTCTTTTTTCTCTCTCTATCTCTCTCTCTCTCTCTCTCTCCTCTGCTGGATCTGCTCTCTCCACTCTCTCTCTCTCTCTCTCTCTCTTAGTCTGTCTCCCCTTCTCCCCTGACTCTCTACCTCTTTCTCCATACCTCTTTCTTCATAGATAATGGTTCTAAATGACTTGTGGATGTAGTAGTAGTAGTAGTAGAGCAATTGCCCGGCATTTACAGGAAATTGTTGACAATAATAGGCGAAAGAGAGTAGAGAAACATAGGAGACTTTATTGTAGTAAATAGATTTCGATGTTTATTTAAGCATTATTACTTTATTGAAACGCTCCAAGTGCATGTGCTCTCCCCCTTGTCCCCTGGCTCTGTTTTTTCCTCTATCCATAAGATTAATGGTTTTTAAGTGACTTGTGAATGCAGCAACACTCACTCACACTCTCTCTCTCTCTCTCTTCGCATACATTACAGTACTGAAGGACTTGCAGAAGTTGATACAGGAGGCGCGCGCCAAGTGGAAGATCCCCGAGATTCGCTCACGTTCGGGCAAGAACAACGGGAACATCAGCGAAGTGCGGACGAGCCAATGGCCTGCGTCAGGTGAGCGGTGCGGCGAGAGCGGTGGTGCCATCTGTTGGTTGCTGTGGTAAACATCACATTAAAGTGTGGCTTCATTCTAATGATCGTCTGTGATTGTCTTGCTGTCTTTCTTCCCCTCGCTGTATCGCTCTCTCACTCTTTCTCTCTATCTCTCTCTCTCTCTCTCTCTCTCTCTCTTCTCTCTCTCTCTTTCTCTCTCTCTCTCTCTCTCTTCTATCTTTCTCTCTCTCTATCTATATCTTGTCTCTCTCTCTCTCTTTCTCTCTCTCTCCTCTCTCATCACCCTCTCTCTTTCTCTCACTCTCTATCTCGTTTCTTCTTCTCTCTCTCTCTCTCTCTCTCTCTCTCTCTCTCACTCATTCTATCATATCTCTCTCTTCTCTCTCTACTCTCTTGCGATTCTCTCTCGCTACTCTCTCACCTCCTCTCGCCCTATCTCTCTCTCTCTCCTCCCTCTCTCCCTCCCTTCCCCCTTCTCCCGCACACACCCGACTTAACCTCTTCTCCCTCGTTTCTCCCCGCAGGAATTCTAGCGAAGATCCAGCAGATCCGTGTTGTAATGGCGACAGCATCATAGGGAGAGAAGCTGATGCACGACTCACCGATCAGCTCGTCCAAGAGACGGCACGAGCAGCGACGACGTCGGCGGCCTACAGTTTTTTTTTTTTGGGTGCCGCGCCGTGGCCATCGCCCCTCGCTGGCTTGTTTGAGTACGTATCTCTCTCTCTCTCTTCTCTGTCTCTCTCTGCCTCTCTCGCCCTCTCTCTCTCTTCTCTCTCTCTGTCTTCTGTCTCTCTGTCCTCTCTCTCTCTGTCTTCTCCTGATCTCTGTCTGTCTCTGTCTCTCTCTTCTCTTCTCTCTCTCTCTTTCTTCTCTCTCTCTCATCTCTCTGCTCTCTCTCTCTCTCTCTCTCTCTCTCTTTCTCTCTCTCTCTTCGCTCTTCGACCTCTCTCTCTCTACATCCCAACAGCTAGATTGTTTCTCTCTCAAGGTGGCCTTGAACTCCTCCTCATCCTCTACGAGGTTAAACAACTAGGTTAGCGGGCATCAATAAGAATCCGACCCGGAGTGTAATGCGCGACCCGCCTGCCGATACCCGTCGCACGCGGAGGCAACGCGACGTTTTGCCGACGGAACGACGACCGCAAGACCGACGACGACGAACAAAGGCTGCTCGAACTATCAGGAACCTGCTGACGCAAGTCCCCAGTGGGCGAACGACACACGCGAATGATCCCCACCGACGCGAGTTCACGAACACGGGAGGATTCGTCGCCGCCGGCCGCGCCGCCGCCGCGCGCATGAGACACGGCGCGGGCGAATACCTTTATTTACCGGGCGCGGCCGGACAGAGCTGCGTCGAGCGATCGACAGACGGTCAATTCGGTGCTGTCGTTCGGAGCAGATCGATGTCGACAGAGCGACGCGCTGGCGGCGGCGGGCTGGCGGCGGCGCCGCCGTGGGCGCGCGCACGCATCTACGGCCGGCGGGCGGCGCGGCCGACGGTTCGTTCCCGCGTGCCGCCGGCCGACGCTGGAGCGCACAGCTCATCGGAGACGCGCGGATCGCGTACGCCTGGGGCGTGCCGCACCTCAGTGGCCTGTTGGACGGAGCGTCTGCTGCGGCTGGACGACGGCCGACGAACCGCGACGTGCGCTGTTCCAGGGACAAGTGGAGCGCGGGCAGGTGAGAGGCGGAGGAGGGGAGGAGAGTGAGAGTGAGGAGAGAGAGAGAGAAGAGAAAAATGAAGAGAGCAAGTGAGAGAGAGAGATGAGGAGAGAAAAGAGAGGGAGTGAGAGAGAGAGAGATGAGAGCGAGAGGGAGAGAGGAGAGGAGAGAGGAGAGTGAGTGAGAGTTGAGCGAGTCGGAGAGCCGACGAGCAGAGAAAGCAGGAGACGAGCAGATGAGCGAAGAGCCGGAGAGCGAGAACCGAGAGCCGAGACGCGAGAAGAAGAGAGAAGAGGAGAGAGCGCATCATAAATAATTATAATCGTAATATAAATATATTAAAATAGTATAGGCGTCGCGATGTTGTTACATTTGCACCCATGAAAATGCGTCACTTGCAGTATTCACTTAAACAAGCAAGACTAGGCCTAGACGTAGATCAGCAGTTTAACTATACACCCACGCACCCGCACGCTTACCCGCCCCCACGCTTCCCGCCCCACCCTACGCCCACCCCAGCCCTTAACCGCCACCCCACGCCACCCCACGGTTCTCTCAATCACTGGACGTACCCTGGCCTGTCTTGTCTCCGCCAGCCCTGCATTCGTCTCCGGCGGTTTCCACCGGCAGACTGACCTCTGACCTGTGGAAGCCGGAAGCGTTCGCGGCGGAAGTTCGGCCGTCGATCGGGAAACGAATCCTCGTCAAACTGTGAGACGGGCGCGCTGACTTCCCAACCAGCCGATGAAGGTCTCTCTGGGACGGCTTCGAGCAGAGTGTATCGATCGTGAGTAGTCGCGAATCGCCAGTCTAGACGGATGGACGTTGCGACCTCTCGAGGTGACCTAGGAGTGACTCAAAAGTGATCAGTAGAAGTGATTTAGGAGTTACCTATGTGTGCTCTAATGTGGGCAGACTAAGAGGAGGACCGTATGTTAGGCGACGACCATTTGGGTGACTTGTAAGTGGTCTAGGCGAGCTTGCCATAGGAGGTATGTTGGCACGACCTTGGGAGTGACCTAAGACATTGTGCATAGCCGCGTGCTTAGACCTCGCATTTAATTGGATAAATAATAAGGGTCTTTATTAGTCTCAAGGGTCACTTGTGGAGGAGATAGCTACTTATCGGTGAACAGGTCTGTTTACAATTGTATACGGTATAATGCATTGCCACGCCGTCACAAGCGTTACGCAGTCCGTGCGCGGTTGCCGGATCACCATGGAACCCGCCTTCGCCGCATTCTCTGTCCTACGTCTAACGCCTAGCCCGTGTCTCCTTCCCTCTCGCCAAGAGGTGCTGCGACCTCTTGTGTGCAACGCGCCCGCCGGGATCGACGCTCGTCAAGCTGAAGAGACCTTAATGTGCCGCCGTAGCGGACGCACGTGTTCACCACTGATTTAGCCGCGCGCCTTCGACGAGCTGATGAGCGGCCTGTGGCCCGTGCGGACAGTACACGCGCCGCGACGGGCGGCGCTCGCTTAAACTCGCACGCGCCTCCCCGACTTCTTCGTGCGTCCGACCTCGGACCCAAGATGCTACAAACGCCTACGTAAGCGTGGGCATGGACTGGAGGAGAGAGGGGAGGAGGACGGAAGGAGGCAGCAGGAAGAAAGGAAGGAAGGGACAGCTGATTTATTGGAGCAACCGGTTTAATTCGCCTCACAGCAAAATATAATTAGCATACTATAAGGCACATCTGTACGCGTGATTGCGGACGGCCATATATGGTACAGCAGTGTGGCGGACGGCGGCCATATATGAGACAGGTCGTTGTGGACGCAATATTGTAACAGCGTGTATGTGGAACGGCCATATATGCTACAGCCGTAGGTTACAGTGGACGGCCGTGATTTGTAAACAGGCGTGTCTGTGGCGGCCACAGTTATTGCCTAACATGCGTGTTCGTGGACGGCCATATTGTCAACAGGACGTGTTCCGTGGGGAGGCCATATTGTAAAGCGATATTGTGCACGGCCATATTTGTAACAGCGTGTTCCTGTGGAGGCATAATTTTACAGCGTTAGTTGTGGGGCAGGCCCTATATTGTAAAAGGTAATGTGACGACGGCATTTGTCACAGGTGTTGTGGACGGCATCATATTGCTACAGCGTGTGTCGGGACGGCACATATTCATGCTAACAGCGCTCACGCTGAATGTTGCCCGTCGTATCGTTGTGCGTCGTTGTCTCGTGTTGCCCGTCATAACGTTGCACGTTGTTGCCTCGTGTTGCCCGTCGTAACGTTGCCCGTTGTTGCCGCGTGTTGCTCGTCGTAACGTTGCGCGTTGTTGCCGCGTGTTGCCCGTCGTAAAGTTGCACGTTGTTGCCTCGTGTTGCCCGTCGTAACGTTGTGCGTCGTTGTCTCGTGTTGCACGTTGTTGCCGCGTGTTGCCCGTCGTAACGTTGCACGCTGTTGCCGCATGTTGCCCGTCGTAACGTTGTGCGTTGTTGTCGCGTGTTGCCCGTCGTAACGTTGCACGCTGTTTCCTCGTGTTGCCCGTCGTGACGTTGCACGTTGTTGCCTCGTGTTGCAGGCGCGCTCGCCGGCTCCTCGACGCTGCCCAGCGTTGGCACCACCAACCTCCACCTGGACATCAGCGACGCTGTCAATGTCCTCGTCTACGTCGGCGTGCCCGAGGACGACCCCAACCACGACCACCGCGCAGGTAAGCTAGCGCTCCCTAGTGACACGCCGCTGTTTCTATAACCATGACCATCGCGCCGTCCCCTATATACCCATGGTCATTGCGCTGGTAAGCTAGCGGGACAGCAGGGGGCGCTTATACCATGCTCGTGTGTCTAAGGACAGCATTTAGACACATGAGCATGGTATAAGCGCCCCCTGCTGTCCTTAGACACATGAGCATGGTATAAGCGCCCCCTGCTGTCCTTAGACACACGAGCATGGTATAAGCGCCCCTGGTGTCCTTAGATACATGAGCATGGTATAAGCGCCCCTGCTGTCCTTAGACACATGAGCATGGTATAAGCGCCCCTGCTGTCCTTAGACACACGAGCATGGNACCCCTACGCCCACCCCCATCCCCACGCCCACCCCTACGCCCACCCCCACGCCCACCCCCACGTTCTCTCATCACTGACGTCCCTGCCTGTCTTGTCTCCGCAGCCCTGCATCGTCTCCGGCGTTCACCGGCAGCTGACCTCTGACCTGTGGAAGCCCGAAGCGTTCGCGCGGGAGTTCGGCGACGAGCGAAACGACCTCGTCAACTGTGAGACGGGCGCCGTGCTTCCCAACCAGCCGATGAAGGTCTTCTGGGACGGCTTCGAGAGAGTGTCGAGTGAGTAGTCGATCGCCTGTCTAGACGTGGCGCGACCTTTCGAGGTGACCTAGAAGTGACTTAGGAGTTACCTATATGTGGTCTAAGTGGGCTAGCCTAGAGAGGACGTATGTAGGCACGACCTTGAAGTGACCTAGACATTGGCTAGTTGTGGCTTAGACCTGATTTAAGGATAAATAATTAAGGATAATAAAAAAGGCCTTTATTCGTCTCAGGGTCACGTGCGAGGAGTAGCGCGTTATCGTGACAGGTCTGTTTACAATTGTATACGGTATAATGCATGCAACGACAGTGAGAGATCACCATGGAACCCCGCCTCGCCGCATCTCTGTCCTCTCTAACGCGCCCGTGTCTCCCTCTCCCCGCAGAGCGTCTGCGAGTGGACGGTGGCGCTCCGACGCTCGTCAAGCTGAAGGACTGGCCGCCGGCGGACGACTTCAACCACCTGATGCCGCCGCGCTTCGACGAACTGATGGCAGCCGTGCCCGTGCCGGAGTACACGCGCCGCGACGGCCCGCTCAACCTCGCCACGCGCCTCCCCGACTTCTTCGTGCGTCCCGACCTCGGACCCAAGATGTACAACGCTTACGGTAGGTGGGAGGGACTGGAGGAGGAGGGGGATGGAGGAGTAGGGAAGGGAGGAAAGAAGGAGGGAAGGAATGAAGGAGAAGAGGAGGGGCAGGGAGGACGAGGGGGAGGGAAGAAAGGAAGGAAGGGACAGTTGATATAATTGAGCAACCGTTTAAATTCCTCGCAGCAATATAATAGCGCCCAGATGTTAAATGTTAGCAACGGGCGGCCATATTGTAACAGCGTGTTGTGGACGGCCATATTTAAACAGCGCTCACGCTGAATGTTGCCCGTCGTATCGTTGTGCGTCGTTGTCTCGTGTTGCCCGTCGTAACGTTGCACGTTGTTGTCTCGTGTTGCCCGTCGTAACGTTGCGCGTTGTTGCCGCGTGTTGCTCGTAACGTTGTGGGTTGTTGCCGCGTGTTGCCCGTCGTAACGTTGCACGCTGTTGCCTCGTGTTGACCGTCGTAACGTTGCACGTTGTTGCCTCGTGTTGCAGGCGCGCTCGCCGGCTCCTCGACGCTGCCCAGCGTTGGCACCACCAACCTCCACCTGGACATCAGCGACGCCGTCAACGTCCTTGTCTACGTCGGCGTCCCCGAGGATGACCCCAACCACGACCACCGCGCAGGTAAGCTAGCGCCCCCTAGTGGCACTCTGCTGTCTCTATAACCATGACCACCGCGCAGGTAAGCTAGCGCCCCCTAGTGGCACGCTGCTGTCTCTATAACCACGACCACCGCGCAGGTAAGCTAGCGCCCCCTAGTGGCACTCTGCCTGTCTCTATAACCACGACCACCGCGCAGGTAAGCTAGCGCCCCCTAGTGGCACGCCGCTGTCTCTATAACCACGACCATCGCGCCGTCCCCTATATACCCATGGCCGTTGCGCAGGTAAGCTAGCGCCCCCTAGTGGCACTGTGCTGTGCCTATAATCATGACCATTGCGCGGGTAAGCAAGCGCCCCCTGCTATCACCCTGCTGTCCTTAGACACACGAGCATGGTATAAGCGCCCCCTGCTGTCACCCGGCTGTCCTTAGACACACGAGCATGGTGTAACCCCCCCCCCCTGCTGTCAGCCTGCTGTCCTTAGACACACGAGCATGGTATAAGCGCCCCCTGCTGTCACCCTGCTGTCCTTAGACACACGAGCATGGTATAAGCGCCCCTAGGTATCTTCCGGTGCTTTTAGAATCGGAGAACGAAGAACGAAGAACGAAGATATGGCTACGATCCGTAGTGATGTCCCTTATACATTCACCGCGTACTAGAAAGATGTCCACTCCGCAAGGCAACGCTGCGGGCACCCACATTGTTGACGTCGTTCAACGATGATTATAATTAATTAATTAATTAATTAGGCTGTCTAGCCGAGCGACGGCACTTTTAATTCTGCCACGGGCGCGCGCGAGCACAATGATGAAAAAACTCTAACCTCGCGACGATGATAATTACTGCTAATTACTACACACTACATAATTAATGCAAATTAGCCCGATAGTTGTTCTCGTTCGAATTTCGTTTCCGTTCGGAAAAGAAGAATTTGTAGCGATGAAAGAGCAGGTAAACGACGCGGTTAATAATGCACGACGCGATGGCGTCTGCACGCACGGAGAAACAACATGGCCGCCGCAGCGATCCCCAGTTCACCGAACGCGTTCATTGTTCCTCTTGATGAGAAAATATAATGAATATGAATATAAAAATAATGCATACTAATAATATAAATAATAATGAATAATAACATGGCCAAACCGCGTTCTGCCGCGGAGAATCTTGTAGATCGCTAAGATTTCGGCATTCAAGGCTAGTACCCTATCCACCCATCTGATTTGGCATCTCATAACCTAACGTCTTGTGAAGTCTAGTGTGTCTAGGAAGCTGCTGGTTATAGCTGGGTAATGAGGGTCGTGGAGGGCATTGCTGGAACGTAGCCATGGGGTACGTAAGGTGGGGCATCGCTGCAACATGATGGTAGGGATTCTATGAAGGGGCATCTCTGGGAACGTACGTATACGAACGTATCTACGAATCAATCTAGGGAAGCTGAATCCACACTGCTACGTACGTTTTACAGAGGTGCTGAAAGCGATCGAGGATTCGGACGTTGACATGGCGACGCGCGCGCGCGTGAAGGAGAGCAAGGAGACGCCGGGCGCGCTGTGGCACATCTACCGCGCCTGCGACGCCGACAAGATACGAGATCTCCTCAACAAGGTGAGGGGGAGGAGAGGGAGGAGGGCGGGAGGAGGAGGGGGAAGGAGGGGGAGGTAAAGAGGGACAGACAGAGCGAGGAAGAAAGGGGAGTGTGG